CATATCAACAGATGCTGAAAAAGCATTTGACAAAATCCAGCATCCATTTCTGATAAAAATGCTCAGCAATGTGAGAATAGAGGGATCATATCTTGACATAATAAAGGCCACATATGAAAAATGTACAGCCAACATCACACTCAATGGGCAAAAACTAAAAGCATTTCCCTTAAGAATAGAAACAAGACAGGGATGCCCACTTTCAACATTCTTATTTAACATAGTACTGAAAGTCTTTCCACAGCAAATAGACATGAAGAAAAAATATAAGGGATCCAAACTGAAAGGGAGAAGGTGAAACTGTTATTATTTGCAGATGACATGATATTGTACATATAAAACCCTATAAAGATTCCATCAGAAATCTAAATTTAATAAACAAATTTGGCAAAGTAGCAGGATACAAAATTAACATCAAGAAATCAATGGCATTCCTATACACCAATAATGAACTCACAGAAAGAGAAATTAAAAAAACAATCCCACTTACCATTGCGGCAAAAAAATTAAGATACCTAGGAATAAACTTAACCAAAGAAGTAAAGGACCTATTTGCAGAAGACTACAGGACATTGAATAAAGAAATAGTGGAAGATATAAAAAAGTGGAAGCATATACCTTGTTCATGAAGTGGAAGAATTCACATCATTAAAATGTCCATTCTACCCAAAACAATCTATAGATTCAATGCAATCCCCACTAAAATACCAACAACATATTTCACAGAACTAGAACAAATACTTCAAAAGTTTATATGGAACCAAAAAAGACCCCAAATAGCCACAGAAATCTTGAAAAAGAAGAACAAAGTAGGAGGGATCACAATAGCAGACATCAGGTTATGCTACAAAGCCACTGTAATCAAAACAGCCTGGTACTGGCACAAGAACAGGCATATAGATCAATGGAACAGAACAGAGAACCTGGAAATTGACCCAAGACATTATGTTCAAGTAATAATTGACAAAGGTGGCAAGACCATATAATGGAGTAAAGACAGCCTCTTCAATAAATGGTGTTGGGAAAATTGGACAGCCACATGCCAAAAAAATGAAACTAGATCACCAACTTATATCATACACAAGAATAAATTCAAAATGGATAAAAGACTTAATAAGATGTGACTCGTGAATCCATAAAAATCCTAGAAGAAAATGTAGGCAACAAAATTTCAGACACCATATGCAGCAGAATTTCCACTAATACAATGCCTAAGACAAGAGAAAAAAAGGAAAAAATGAACAGATGGCACTACATCAAACTAAAAAGCTTCTGCACAGCAAAAGAAATCAGCATCAAAATGAAAAGGGAATCCACTGTATTGGAGAACATATTTGTCAATGACACATTAGATACGAGGTTAATTTCCAAAATATATAAAGTACTCATACAACTCAACAAAAGGAAGACAAACAATCCAATGAAAAAATGGGCAGAGGACCTGAATAGATACTCCTTCAAAAAGGACATATAAATGACAGAGAGACTTATGAAAAAATGCTCAACATCACTAATCATCAGAGAGATGCAAATTAAAACAACTATGAGGTATCACCTCACACCTGCCAGAATGGCTGCCATCAACAAATACTCAAACAACAAGTGTTGGCAAGGGTGTGGAGAAAAGGGGACTCTAGTACACTGCTGGTGGGAATGCAGACTGGTGCAGCCACTATGGAAAACAATATGGTGTTTCCTTAAAAAATTAAATATTGAACTGCCATTTTACCTTCTGATCCCACTTCTAGGAATATATCCTAAGAAGTCTGAAACACCAGTCAAAAAGAATATATGTACCCTTATGTTCATAGCAGCACTATTTACAATTGCTAAGATCTGGAAACAGCCCAAGTGTCCATCAATAGATGAGTGGATAAAAAAGCTGTGGTACATATACACAATAAAACACTATGCAGCTGGAAGAAAGAGAGGTCTCTTATCTTTTGAGATGACATGGAGGGACCTGGAGAGTATTATGCTAAGCGAAATAAGCCAGTTAGAGAAAGACAAATACCACATGAACTCATTTATTTGTGAAATATAATGAACAAAATAAGCTGATGAACAAAATAGACCCAGAGTCATAGAAAGGAGTACAGTTCAGACTGACAAACCTCAGAGGAGGGAGGCAGAGGGAATGGATGAGATAAACCAAAGAACTTACGTGCATGTATGTATAACCAATGGGCATAAACAACAATGCTGGGGATGGGGAGTGGGGGATGAGATAGGGAAGAGGATGTCAATGGGGGAAAAAGGAGAAACATCTGCAACAAAAATAAATTAATAAAAATTTTAAACAATAAAAATGAAAAATACCAGTTGTATTCTTATATATGAACAATAAAGTATTTGATAAAAAATTAAGGAAACAATCCCATTTATAATAGCATAAAAATAATAGAATATTTACGAGCAAATTCAACTAAGGAGGTAAAAGATCTATCTGTACACTGTAAACTATAAAACAGTGATGGAAAGAATTGAAGAAGACACAAATAATTAAGAAGATACCCTATATTCACTTATTGGAAATTAATATTAAAATATCCATATTATCTAAGGTTATCTACAGATTCAATGCAACCACTATAAAAATTCCAATGGCATTTTTCACAGAAATAGAAAAACAATCTTAAAATTCATACAGAGTCACAAAAGACTCCAAGTAGACAAACCAATCTTGACCAAAAAAAAACAGAACTGTAGGCATCATACTCCCTGATTTCAAAATATATTACAAAGCTACAGGAATCAAAACAATGTGGTACTGGCATAAAAACAGACACAGAGCCATGGAATAGAGTAGAGAGCAAAGAAATAAATCCACCCATGTATAGTAAACTGATCTTTGACAAGGGTGCTAATGCTACACAGTGGGGAAAGGACAGTTTCTTTAACAAATGGTGCAGGGAAAAATTTATATCCACATGCAAAAGAATAAAAATGTGTACCCTTACCTCATGTCATATACAATAACTACTCGAAATGGATTAAAGACATTATTACTAATAAGACCTCAAACTATAAAACTACTAAAAGAAAATATAGGGGGAAAATCTCCTTAACATTGGCCTAGGCAATGATTTTTTGGATAGGACCCCAAAGGCAGAGGCAACAAAAGTAAAAATAGGCAAGTGAAATTGCATCTAACTAAAAAGCTTCTGCACAACAAAGGAGACAATCAAGAGTGAAGAGCCAACCTGTAGAATGGATGAAAACATTTTCAAATCATACATTTTGGTTAATATCCAAAATAGATAAGGAACGCAATAACTCAATAGCAAAAATAAAAACCAAATAACCCAATTAAAAAACTGGACCTGAGTAGACATTTCTCAAAAGAAGACCAAAAAATGGCCAATGGGTATATGAAAAGGTATTCAACATCACTATTTATCAGGGAAATGAAAATCAAAAGTATAATAAGATATCATATCATACCTGTTAGAGTGACTATTCGTAAGAAAAAAAACAAACAAAAGATAAAGAGTGTTGGCAAGAAAGTAGAAAAAATGGAACCTTGTAACCTGTTGGTGAGGTTATAAATTAGTAAAGCCAATATGGAAAACAGTGTAGTGAATCCTCAAAGTATTTAAAATAAAACTACCATATGACTCAGCAATCCCACTTCTGCGTCTATATCCAGAGAAAATTAAGCCAGTATGTATCTCAAAGAGATATCTGTACCCTGTGTTCATTGCAGCATTGGTCACATTAGCCACGATATGGGCACGACCTAAGTGTCCATTAATGGATGAAGAGAGAAAATGTGGCATATATACACAGTGGAATATTATTCATCCCTAAAAAAGAAGAAAATCCTGACATTTGTGACAAGGATGAATATGGAGGACATTATGCTACGTGCAGTAAGTCAGACACAGAAAGACAAATATTGCACGATCCCACTTATATATGGAATCTAAAAGAGTTGAATGTATAAACTAGATTTTAAGTGTTTCCACCAAACACAAAAAAAATGTAACTATGTGAATGATGGCCATGTTAATTAATTTGATTATGGTAATCATTTTACAATTATACATATATAAAACATCACATTAAATACCTTAAATATATACAATTTTTATTTGTCCATTATGCCTCAATAAAACTGGGGGAAAACATTCACTTTTACCTTTAAAAGTAACAATAGATACACATAGTGGACAAGTTTTTAGATTCCTCTTTTGTTAGTACTTTTTATTATGGTAAAAATACATAACGAAATTTACCATTTCAACCATTTTTTAAAAAATTTAAATCCTCACCTGAGCCTGGCTAGTGTGGCTCAGTGGTTGAGCATCAGCCCATGCACCAAGAGGTCATAGGTTTGATTCCCAGTCAGAGCACATGCCCAGGTTGTGGGCCCAATCCCCAGTGGGGAGCATGCAGGAGGTGGCCAATCAGTGTTCTCTCTTATCCATGTTTCTCTCTCTCCCTTTCCCTTCCTCTCTCTCTAAAATCAATAAAGAAAAATAAATTTTTTTTTAATGTTTAAATTCTCACCCGAGGATATTTTTCTATTTATCTTCAGGTAGAGAGAGAGGGAGAGATAGGGAGAGAGAGAGAAACATTGACATGAGAGGGACACATTGACTGGTTGCCTCCCACATGACCAGTCAGGTCAAACCACAACCAAGGTATGTGCCCTTGACTGGAATCGAAGCCCAGACTCATTGGTCACAAGCTGATGTTCTACCACTGAGCCAAACTGGCCAGGGCCATTTCAACCATTTTTAAAGTGTAAAACTCAGTGTTATTAAGAACACTCACAATGTTGCACAATCATCAGCAGATTTTAGATTCTACAGTAAATGTTTTATGTAGGTTTTCCTTTCTGTGTATACTTGCTGTTATGATGTGAGGATGTCCCATTGACCTTTGAGTCAGAGTGGCAGATGATACATACATAAGATACACATCAAGTGTATTTAAAAGACCGAATTTTGTGAAATTTCCAACACTATCATTTAGCCAACACCCAAATATCTTACCTCTTGTGCTTCATGGGCTATTAACTGGTCCATTAACAGTCTCCGCCGCCTTTTCTCCCTTTGTTCTCGTGCAAAAGCATCTTCTTTGAGGCGCTTTTGGATTTTCTTAATGTATTCATCATCTGAGTAAGTGCTTAACAAATCAGCGGTTGTCTGGCCCGCTGGATCTAAGGCAGTCTTGGATGCACTGAGGACAATAGGTTTTATTTTAGATTTAAAAAGTAATGTGATCACAGGCCACTACTTGAGACCATGGAGAAGAACTCGGGAGGAGGCTCCCTTGAGTACTCTGTAAATTTATTAATATAAGCATGAAAGTGAATATCAGAACTTCAGTGTGACAACCATCTCTTGTCAACAGATGCTGTTTTGTCCCCCCCACCTCCTTTCCTGGATTCTCTCCCTGCGGGGTCCTTAGCATCGCCTTCTCTCTAGGTTCACCAACTCCTGCTCTTTCACGTCTCGATGTTCACTCTACCCAGACAGTCTGGGCTTCTCTCCCTCTTCTTCCTGCTGGCTCTGGGCTTCTCGCTTCCTGTTTTGAGTCAACTGTAGCACAATATTGATAACCCCAGTGTCAGGGGAGTCGGTCAGGTACTACTGTCAGGACACAGAGTACCTTGGTGGTTCTGTCCACTGCCACTCTGCCTCACCTGTGCCCAGGCCAGCTGCCCTATGGACTCCAACCCCCAGGGACTGATGAGGGCAGCGACCCAGTTCTTACTGGAAGCTCAGCAGTTGAAAGTTGACTTGCTCATCATGTCACCCTCACAAGCACAGGTCTGACCCAGCTTCTCACCCAAGTCCTGGAGATCCAAGGTGAAAAGACCTACCTTGGGGCTTCTATCCTACCTCATGTCCAAAATTAAAGAATCAGGAAGAGTCTGGTGGTCTCACCAACACAAAGCAAACACACTCAATTTAGTCAGGCAGATGGTGGCTTAGAAGAGAATTTATAGATTTGTTGAAAAGTTATTAAAAGATACATTTTTATGTTTATAAGGATCAAATAATCAATTTTCATCCATACACCTCTTTAAAAAATAAACAATGTAATACAATGGTACAAGATATATCATATATGACTTTCCAAGAAATAATAAATTTTAATATCATGGATCATTGTTGTTTTTAATGTTATAAGTTATTCATGTATTTGTTTTAAAATATACTTTTATTCAAAAGAAAAGGACACATTATTGTGTGTAGGAACTAAATATCAATTCTCATATAGAGAGAAGTACTCTTGTAAAAGCACAGTTAATCCACGTTTAATGAGGCAATAATCGCATGTTTATAGCACAGATAACATTACATTATAGGACATTATTTCTAGGTTTCTGCTCCCAGCTGAACTCTGAGCTCAGAAGAAAAATATCCTATTTTACTCCTCTCTCTACTTGAGCCTCACATGCCTGATATGTAGTTGATATCCACTAAATTTCAACATATCCTATGAAGCGCTATCCAAGTGTAATATAATTTTTAAATCACACTCTACAATTCTGGTTATTTTCTCAGCAGGGGCTCAACCTTCCGTCGTATTCTGTCACTGAGAGTCAGCGAACAAAAACCAAGGAGCTGGTGAAGTGTCAGTAACATCGAAGACAACGTCTATCCCTATTTATTAATATTTAGCACAATTACTTATGAAAATTACGTGACATAACTATTTTAGATCATTCATCAAAATTCTGATTATATTTTTTACACAAATGTGTTGTTTAAAAGATTTTTCCCTGGGTTGAGCATGGGTTAATAGCTCTTTAGACACTGTATTTATGCTACCAAAACTATAACATACTTCTCCTTTATTTATCAATCTGTCCATTCATCCACCCATCCATCTGTTGTCTTATTACCATAAGGTCTGAACAAAGCTACATGATACAACTTCTTGAAGGAATATTCATTTTACTTGATGTGGATTTACTGAGGACAATAATTACGTTTTCTTTACCTCTGTTTGCTTGCCAGGTTTCCATAGAGTTAAGCTGAACATGAATTATTCTAATAGGAGCCTTGGCCAAGTTTGTAAACATAAAAAAGCAGTTGCTAGGAAGAGCCTAAGGGAAATGTATAAATCCAATGTCAGGTGGCACTAGCCAGCAGTCTCACTCACAGAAACAAGGAGCAGAGGGCATTTATTCTCTGTCTTAAAATATCAAGACTTGTGCACGTGGGGGAACGTAGCCATGGGAACCCCTGCGTGGCTCACACTGAGACATCACTACAGGCTATCGCAGGAGAAACAGAGGCACTCCGCGGTGACACCCCTGGGAGCTGGCCGCGCCCGTGGACGTGGCAGCCACACAGATGCTCCTCGGGGTCACCCTAGGGGAGAGATTCAGTGCTTCCAGCCAGCAAGTGTATGGAGTTTCTCAACAAGCTCAGAACATGCTCGATTCTAAGCTAAGAATGCAGAATGTACCGAAAGAGTAGTGATTATTGACGGGGCTTAAGAAAAGAAATATTGTCCCCCGGGCTTTGTTTCTTTAAAAGTTTGCCCTAGACCAGTGCTTCCCAACATGTTTCGTTGTAGGGCCACCGGAGAAAATGCTCTGTGTGGCCCAGTGGACGGGACCTTCAGTCTCTGTGAGGCTGACCACAGTGAGAGGAGACTGGTCCGGGGACCCCTGCTTCCCAGGCCCTCCCCTGCCACCCTGAGAAGTAAGGGTGTCACGCTCATGGTCCCCAGTGGGAAATCTCTAGCAAGATCAAGAGGACGCTCCTACAGAGAAAGGACTTCTGATTAACTCTATTTCCCTCCAAAAAGAGCCCCCATTTTATTTTTAAAAATGTACCTAGCTAAAAATTACATTTCCCAGCCTCCCATTCTGCTAGGGATGCCTGTGTGACTGAATTTCACCCAATAAGATGTGAACAGAGCCCTGGCCGGTTTGGCTCAGCAGTTAGAGCGTTGGCCTGCGGTCCTGAGAGACCCGGGTTCGGTTCCCGCTAAGGGCATGTACCTCGGTTGCAGTTTGTCCCCGGCTCTGGTCGGTCGTGCGGGTGGCAGCCACTCGATGTGTCCCTTTCACATCGATGTTTCTCTCTCTCCTTCTGTTCCTCTCTCTCCCTCCCACTCTACCTGAACAAAAAATGGAAAAATGTCCTCGGGTGAGGATAATAAAAAAAAAAAAAAAGATGTGAACAGAAGTGTCATATAGGACCTCAGGGAAGGCTCTTAAAAGGAGCTATTTCAGACTGGAGATCGCTCCTTTTGCCTATCTTCCTTCCTGATATCTGGAACATGGCCCAATGGCCGGAGCTCCAGCAGCCATCTTATTTTGTGAATATGACAATGAGGACGAAACCACACAAGGGGACAGTGGAGCAAAAGCAAAAGAGGAGCCTCTGTCCTTGATGACCTTGGAGCTGCAACACACCTTGGACTGCTTACATTCTGATTTCTGTCCCACGAGAGAGAAGTAAACATCCATCTAATTTAACCCACTCTTGTTTTGTGGTTTCTAAAGCTTACTGGTAGAGGGACACAGGTACAGGTCCAGTTAACAAAGGCAATAGGGAGCAGGGTACATGTCTGCAGCTGTATTATACAGGGGTGATCTTTAAAACATCTAATAACTGATATGACGAGGACACCGATCAATAGAAATAGAGGCTGGTGTGGGGACTGGAAGATGCCGCTGTGCTCAGTGTCCCCTCTGGATGCTAAATTGTGCAGAGTTCCAGGAAAGGGGCCCGCCCTGCAGCTACAGAGAACACCCTTTACCAACAAGTAATAAATGATTTCAGTGTTTTCCAGCGGCCATTGTGGTGGATAGCGTCTGTCTATCACTCCGGAATGTGTGGCTGGCGAGGCGAGTGGAAGAGAAGAAATAAACCCAGCGGGTCCCTGGGCCAGTCAGGCGGCCGTGGTGCGTTCAGGTGGTTATCTGGGTGAGCGGGCTTGGACTGGGCTTCCTCATGGTCAGACAGCATGAAAAATGGGAGTGGGACTCAGAACGGGCATCGGGGTTTCTGCAGGGGGGGGAAGGACCGGCACCCGCCTCACCTGCTTCACCTCCCTGCCACGCCCGACTCCCTCCCCGTGGCTTCTTCTTCGTCCTCCTCCTTTGAATAATGAGGTCCCTTCCCTCAGAAATATTCATATGGAACTGAAGTCTATAATGTGTGCCTTTCTTCTTTGACAAAGATTTATTTCATGTTCTATAAATTGTAAATGAGTGGAGTTTGGTTGTTTCCATGTAAAAATGAAAAAACAAAACAAAAACAAAAAACCACATACACCTCAAGTTACTCCTATGTATGTAGTCCTTAATTTATTATGTTCTGTAAGTCAATGGCCCCCTAATTGGGCTGATGAAGCCCATTAACCAGGCAATTCTGGCAATAAATTCAGGGAACTGACTTAGTGACATCTGGCCCACAAATAAACAACTCTTCGTCCAATCCCTGTGCTAACGTCCAATCCCTGTGCTAACGGCTGAGGATGCAGCAGGAGACAAGCCAGCTCCAGTCTAGGAAAGCGTTACTGTGTCCGATTTAAATCTGAAACAATTTTAGCGAATGTTTATAAAGTGTGTGTGAACTTAGAAGAGTAAGCAGAGAATAGAAAAGTAATTTAACTTTGTTTGCATCATAATAGCCTCGTTCCCTCTGGAGCTAGGAAAGTTGTTAATGAACCATTCATTCGAACTTTGTCATTTATCTTCTTTCATACACTCTCTTAATGAAGATTCTACAAAGGGAAGAGCTCTTTGGAATAGCTGTCCCAGGCAAACTATTCCTGAACATTCAAAACTTACAGGTTAAAAAGAATGTAGCTTTATGATTAGTAAAATAGTTCACATCTCACCTTTCTTTCGCCTGGAGATCCTTTTTTAGTAACGCTTCAAACTTCTTAATCTCATTGGCCACATCCTTTAAAAAAATTCATTATCAGTTTTCTACCTCTAAATATCATCGGAAATCTTCATTTACCCTATTTCTTCACGTTTATAAGATGAGATGCACTATGATATCCAAAGCTGCACTCTAGCATATTTTTATAATTCGGATTTCTTACTTCTACCCCACGCTAAATATACCTGAAAGAATATGAAAGTTGGCTGACCTGAGTCACTCAGTTCAGTGTTAGCTCTGACAGCGCATCAAAGGGAATTTAATAAGAATAAAGATTATCAGAGGGTTAGGGCCTAATTTTTAAAGTTGTATTTATATCAAGTATAGTTGGCATTTTAAATTGCAATTCTTTTAAACGAGAATAAGCATTTTTGGATATATATGTTTCTTTAAAATTCTGCCTCGGGTGTCTTAAACATTTCTCGTGCAACCTTATTTACACTATTAATTTGCCCTGTGAAAACTAATTTTAGCTCATCCTTGATCTACTGCACTTCTTATTAATAACATTTAATCAACTCTGGGAAATATAAGAATTTTGTACTTTACTAAAATGGGGTCACAAGAAAACCTCTGTGGGTAATATCTGTTTAGAATCTCAGCACAGGATTTTTTAAAATTAAAAAATAAATGTAGAGCCCTGGTCGGTTTCGCTCAGTGGTTAGAGCATCGGCCTGCGGTCCAGAGAGACCCAGGTTTGGTTCCCGCTAAGGGCATGTACCTCGGTTGCAGTTTGTCCCCGGCCCTGGTTGGTCGTGCGGGTGGCAGACACTCGATGTGTCTCTTTCACGTCGATGTTTCATTCTCTCTCTCTCTCTCTTCCTCTCTCTCTCCCTCCCACTCTATCTGAACAAAAAATGGAAGAACGTCCTGGAGTGAGAATAAAAAAAAAAAGAGAGTGAAAAAAATAAAAATAATAAAATAATTGTAGATTAACGTGAAATAGAATGAATTTAGAAATCAGAGACCTGGCCGTCTCTCCTTCCCCAGCACTGTGAACTTGGGCAGAACACGTCAGCTTCCTGAGTGTCAGCTTCCTTATCTGCAAAATGGGCAAATAATGCCCTGCCTACAGACTTGTTTATAAATTCAAGATAATGTGACGTGTCCAGTCCATGGTCTGACATATCTCAGATGCTAAATAAATGGTGGCTAGTCATCTTCTTCCTGGGTCATGAGAGAAAATATCACCGACATTCTTGCAGTGCGTGCACCGTGGACTGCAGGGGTTTGCATCAGAGTGTAGCCTTGCTCTGCTGTGAAACAGAATCAGACTGTATTCTGTGGAATGACTGACAGTTGGTACAGCCTAGCAAAATAGCACTTGTGTAGGTAACTTAAATTTAAATATACTGATGACAAGTAAATCATTTAACCTTTCTAGAATTCTTAGAAAAATGGCGCAGCCCAGTGAGGAGAAATTGCGTAAACACATACAGTAGGAACCTGTGTGTGCATGGCAAGTGCACCTCACCTGGCCCCTGTGGCGCCCATGGGGGTCTTCATGACAGCACCCATGCTGGTGACCACAGAATCCTCGACACAGGAGGCCAGACAGGTGCCGTCACGTAACAGGAGTCTGGCATCGCTGGCCTACAGCTACATTCTCTGTTTCTGAACAAATGACAGTACCAAAGGGACTGAACCTGAATATGCAGTGGCAGTTTCAATGAGAAGGGACGATGCCAGAGATCCTTTGAAAAGAAAATATAAGGCATTTTGGGAAGTCTCTTTACATGCTTAGGGAAAGATCATTCTTTAATTAAGATAAACACAACACGTAATTAAAGGACTGTCACTTACCTCTGCCTCTTTTTTCTTTTTCATCATCTTCTGGGCCTCGAGGGCCTTCAGAGTGCGGCTGGAGGCAGGTTTGGGGATCTGTATGATGGCCGCTTGGATTTTGGCCATAATTTCATTTTGCCGTCTTCTGCTCAGGCGTTGCTGAGTATCCCAGATACATTAGTTTAGTGATTCAGTTCATCAGAATACTGGGCAATGTTACATATATATAAAATTTTCCACTGAAGTGTTCAGAACTCATCAATTAACCAATGGACTACGTGTCACAACAGTATAATGTCACCAAGCAGGTGTCAACATGACTTGGTTTGAAAAAGTATGATATTAAGTCCACCCAGTATGGCTAATGGTTGAGCATCGACCCAGGCACCAAGAGGTCACTGGTTCAATTCCTGGTCAGGATACATGCCCAGGTTGTGGGCTCAATCCCCAGTGGGGAGCACGCAGGAGGTGGCCACTCGATGTTCTCTCTCATCAATGTTTCTATCTCTCTCTCCCTCTCCCTTCCTCTCTCTCTAAAATAAATAAAGGGAAAAAAATTTTAAAAAGAAAGATAAGTATGATATTGAAACACAGTTTTGGAGTCCCCAAGGTTTCCATTCAAATGTATGTACTTTCGTTCTGGGTGCTGATAGTAAAAGCAATATAAAGGGGTCCCAGACACAAAGAAGAGTATAATTCTATCCCAGTTCCACCTTCGTGACCTGCCCAGTCTAGGAGAAGGTCTCTGGGAGAGCTCCTGGCAACCAAGCAGAAATGACAAGATGTCCCAAACTCAGTCACACTTAATGAGTTCAGAGACTACATAAAATATTGAGCTAACACTACCTTATGTCATATTATGACTGAATCATCTCTTCTTTATGTAGGCAACAATAATTTTAAGAAGAATATAAACAGCAGGGCATAATTGAAAAAAAAATACAGTGAAAATCAGATAAAATATTTTACAAATGAATGGTTTAAGAGGTAACGTGAAACTAATCATGACTACTAAAGCATTATATTAGAACTAATAAGATCATTAGCACCTACATCCAAAGCTAATAAATGTCAATTCACCATTAAAAGCTCAGAAATTATAAATAATTTTTAAAATTTTCCTCAATTTTCTAAAATGTAAATTTTTATTCAATTGCAATATGTGTGTATGTATGTGTGTGTGTGTGTGTGTGTGTGTGTATATATATATATATATATATATATATATATATATATATTTAGAAAACCAGGAAGAGATAGGCTCTCCCTATTTGCTTCTTATCATTTTTCACATAATTTACTTTAGAATATGTAATTAATTGTATCATATTTTGCTTTTCTCCACTATCTTTGGAGACTTTCTGCAGTAGACTGGGCTCATCAAAGCTGAGCAGGCTGCTTCCATATAGGGTCCCAGCACTCAGTCTCACGTAAACACCAAGCGTGCCTCTCTCCTTACCACAAAATGCCCAGGGGAGCCAACCTTTTCCCATTCTGTGGCAAGCATGCAAGCACAAGACCTCCCAGAGTTTGTGTCTTATCTTTCCCTCCCTCCTCACGAGGAGCTGACTACATTCAGGATATGCTACTTTCTTATCATTCTAAGTATATAAATTTATATAAAGTGATTTACAGTGCAATGAGACAAACTATAATTCTTTTGCCTGTAGTTTACACATTCCATACACACAGCCACTTGAAATTCTGTTAAAGTCTTTAATGATTCCACACCACTGTCCTCTCATGTCCTGAATGGCACAGGAGATCATAAAAGACTTTCAGAGGAACAGGAGAAACAGCAGACAGTCAGTCAAAGCCAGAAGGGCAGGAAGACGATAGGAGATGTTTAAGGGGGCTGGAAAGGGAAGAGAAAAATGGGGCAGGACAGGAAGACCAAGGGGTTGCAAAAGGGGGAAAAGAGAGAGGAAAACATGCAGTCTATCTCCTTCAGTGGTGACAATGGTCATAGCCTTCGCTGGGGTGACCCATAGCACCCCCACGCCATTACTAATGCATCTGACTCATTGATTTCTGCCAGGCAACTTAAAAGAGATCAAGTTGTCCTGCCATTCCAGAGAACGGCAGTTCTGGCTCCTTCGCCACAGGTGGAGGGGACAGTGGCAGGAGTGGGACGGGGAGAGGGGACAGTGAAGGAGAGAGCTGAAAGCCAGGCAGAGCACGAGCCGTCGTCAGCATGCGACCTGCGCTGCATTCATGCTTGAGCAACGTGTACTTCAGGCACCAGACGCATACAGTATACTATGCACTAATGAGTTTCTGTTAAAATTGTTCTATGAAACCTTTTCGATATTAAAACATCTTTGTTCTTCCTTGATTTTTTGAAATTTTTCAAGTTTCTCAAAATGCATGCGGACAAGATCTTCTTTCGTGTGTATATATTTCTCTTGAAACCTGTCTGAAACCCGCATCAGACTGAAATCAGTTTGCCGTGGTGTCAGTTTTCTAAGTCTCTAAATGAAGAAAGCATTTCAAAAGATGCAGTTGTTAGGGACTAAGAGTATATCGTTGTTATAAGCACACATAAAATTTGTCTTCAAAATAAAATTTCTATAAAATACTACTGTTGGTTGTTAAAGTCATTTTAAGCTCCATACTAATTACGTACTTCCTTAATTGATGTAGAGAATACAAAAATATGATTTGAATTCCTTCTTATGAAGTAATCTTATATGTACTTTTATAGTAAATTTTTTGCCCTCGTTCAATTTTTAACAAATCATGTTTAAATTCTTGGAAATATATTTTCATAAGAATAATTTTATAAAACCAATTTCAACATGTAAGAGATAATATAAGAAACCAGATTCTTTCTATTACTTGAGCCACTTCCTGGTAACAAGTGAGGAAACATTCACACTCCCAGGCCCCTGGCGAGTGCAGTATTATAAGAAAATAAACTCTAAGGGTGATTATAATGTGGGACACAGAATCACGGTCAGTGTACTTAACCAAAACTTTTATATTCAAAAGTAATCTCCTTTGAAGCTGAAGACTTACTTAAAAAAAAAAAAAAGGATGATACTATTGCTTAAACCATTGCTGATCTTCTCACCCTGCCTCAATAGAGGTTGGCATTTACGCAGAAGGACATTTAGGGACCCCTGAGCTGACATGAAGTCCCTCCACAGCTTCTGGCTCTTCTCTGTGAAAAATGGCCTGGCCTCCAACTTCACAGGGACAACAAAAATGTAAGGTCTTTGAACATCCTGCCTCTGCACTTCTACGCATCGCTACAGCTTTCACTTAATTCTTACGTTTCAACCCAGGAAATACCCACTGAGATACTAGCCTACTGTTGAGTGTGTGGCTTCCAGAGTCCGATTGTTTAGGTTTGGGTTTCAGCTACTAGCTTCATAAAGTTGGGCGAGTTCTCTAACCTCCCTATCTCAGATTCATCATCTGCAGAGCGGGAATAGAAAAAAATACCCATCTCATAAGACTGATATAAAAAAAAAATCAAAAGAGATAATACATAAAAGGTGTGGGAACAGGCTTGTCACCTCACTGTGTACATTCAATGAATTTTAATATTACTATGTAACGAACACCTGTGTCTTCCTCCATCTGGTATTAAAGAATGTCATCTCTCCTCCGTCCTCTGAATACTGACTCATTCCTCCTCTTTTCCTCCCAGAGGACCTCCTCCACGTCGTCCTCACACCAATCATCTCCTGCCACAGATTCTTTTACTCAACGAGCAGACTGGCCCAGTATCTACATCCATAAAACAGAAAAATCTCACATTTCCCTAGATCTTCTTCCCCACAGCTATGGTTATTTTCTTTTCTCCTTCACCTTCAAATTTCTCGAAAGAATAGCCTGTGCTCCCTCCTTTCTTCCCTCTGAGTGTCCTCAACTCCCTGCAATCGACACCCCTCTACCGAAATACTTCCCTCCCTAAAACGTAAGCTCTAGGAGGACTGGGCTCCGTTGTGCAAGTGCCTGGCATAAAGTAGGAGCCCAACAAATATTTGTTCAATGAATTACTGACTGACTCTGGTAGGTCACTAGTGGCCATCATGAAACCCAGTGGTCTCTTGTTTGGCCTCATCTGCCCAGCTCTGTAGCATCTGTTACTGTTGCCTCCTTTGCAAAGAACTGTTTCATGTATTGTCTTCTTAAAGCTACAAAAAGCCTCTGAGACAGACAGAGATAATCATCACTGTTTTTACAGCTGAGATAATTAAGACTGTACTAGGGACTGGCCCAACGTTAATCAGCTTGGAAGTGAAGAAGGTGGAATGCAATACTCAGTTATTCAGCTTTGAGCCTAATCTAGTCTCTAGCTCTCCGTGGGTCCTGGGTTCATTCTGCTACCAGGCTCGTGAGGATGTCCATTAAGAACAGACAGATCTGAAAGTAGGACTGTCCCTCGCATCTATTATATCATTGTGGCTTCATAACTTAATTTACATTTTTAATTACTTCCTTTTTTATTTAGTGCATGGCTTCAGTGCAGTGCTCCCCATTACCCTAGAGACCTGGAAAAGTCAATGCATCTCACTGACCATAAGGAAGCAGCACAGGAACTGGAGAGAATTGTCAACCAGGAAGTTATAGCAATTTATCAAAACACAATGAATGAGTATTTGCAAAGTTTAAAGCATGGTACTCAGCATGTGCCTTGAATTTGAGGAACTAAACATCTTGTGAGGTCATAAGACAAGCAAACACTGCAATTCAGAGTGATATCAGCAAGAGAAAGTGAACCCCAGAGAGTGAGAGTGGCTGTGCCCACGGAGGGCCACGGAAGAGCCCGGCACTGGGAGGTGGCACGGAAGTACATGGAGAACAGTTTGGGGGACAAGGGGAGAGGAGAAGAATGAGCTTGGCTGAGAGAAAGGGGCGAGCAGGGATATGCAAGTCCCATTCAGGGACAGGCTGCCCACCAGTGCAGAAGCAAGACGATGCTGAGGACTCTGAAGGGATAAAGTCAACAAGACAGGCTGAGAACACTTAGTGAAAACTGTTGAATGTCAATGTGAATTGGGAGACAGGATATATATGAAACAGAAGGTTTTCAGGCAAAAGAAGAACTTAGTGGAAGTGGAATTTAGGGAAGACTCAGTTCGTACAAAGCCTGAAGCCCAGGAGACCCGCTAGCAGGTTCATACACAGATGGGATGGGGTACCACTGGGAAGAGGAACAGGCATAAAAACACGGGGTGTTAGGAATAAACAGAATTGATACACTATTGGAAATGTGGATAACACAAAGGGAGACATCAAACATGAATAAATACATTGAAAATATTAATATAAAATAAAACCCAAATTTGGCCAGCAACAAACATCGGGGACACATCCACCCAATGGGGCCCCTTTGGGAATGCGGCCTCACTGTCATTCTCTGTACACGTCCTACATGGCGATGTGCTCGTGTTTCTGCACTTACATCCTGGAAAGCCACGCTCTTCATGTTCTGAAGCCTCACGGTGGTCATGGGCTGCATGGTCTGCATTTCCATCCCCGTCAGCCCCGCCTTCTTCTTTTTCTGAAGAGCAGTGTACAGCTGGTACAGAAGTGTCGTCGCGGCCCCAGGCTTCTCCGTGATAATGTTGTTGGCCACTGTCGGGTCGAACTGCACGCCCAGCAGGTGAAGCGTTGGCTCCAGGCGAGAAAAGTTGTTCAGTTTGGCACTCGAAACCCTAGGCATTAAGGCATTTCACACAGTGAGGCGCTGGCATGGACTTGAAAACAAGAACCAGAGATACTACCACGATTCAATAGTCTTAATTATCCCACGTTCTTGCAAGTATATCATTTCTCTCTAAAACCACTCAATCATGTAAATACATTGAGCTTTTCTGTTGTCCTGAATTTTATGCATTTATTTCTCTTGAGTGGCTAAATTAACAATCATTAATTTTATATACTCTCCTGCTAACACAGTTGCTAAAATTTTTACAAGAACTCAATACAAAACCAGATAACTAGATTCCTTCTTCTGAATGGAAAAACTGAACTATGGCTTTAAAAAAGACTTTACTCAGAAGTCAAAATTGCAAATTAAATGTCCATTTCTTTTTTTTTTCCCCTCACCAGAGGATATTTTTCCATTTTTTGTACAGATAGAGTGGGAGGGAGAGAGAGGAAGGAGAGAGAGAGAGAAACATCGACGTGAAGGGACACATCGAGTGGCTACCACCCGCACGACCAACCAGGGCCGGGGACAAACTGCAACCGAAGTACGTGCCCTTAGCGGGAACCAAGCCCGGGTCTCTCCGGACTGCAGGCCGACGCTCCAATCGCTGAGCCAAACTGGCCAGGGCAAATGTCCATTTCTTTAAGTGATATGATTACTAGAGTCTGAAAATAGCCCTAATTACTGCACCGACAACCCTAACAGTAATGCTTTCAGGCACTGTCAAAAGTATTTAAGTAACATTAGCTATCAAATCAAATTAGTTGTGAAATCTTCATTTTACAGTTTACATTACTACTTTAAGAATCAGTAAAAACTTTCTAATTATGTCATATTTATTTTTGAATCACCTATTATCAAATTAGGCTCACATTTTAGAAGAAATTCATTATTTCATTCATTTATTAATTTACTCTCTCAACTAACAAACATGTGTTGAATACACATTATATACCAAGGATTTATGTCTTTATTAAGTTCATCAGGCAAATGATATGTAAATAAGTGTAAATAAATTTACAAATGTATTAAATGTTTGCAAAGATTAATAACACATAGTACCTGCCCTAGAAGAGCAAACAAATGATGATAAATTGAGGTATATGTTGAACTAGAAATTTCAAATGATCTAGGGCTGTTAATGAGCCCATGAGCCCATTGATGAAAATAAAGCAAAAGATGTTGGCAGCCTTTTCAACTCTCGTGTCTCTCTATATGATCCCACTGGATATAAATATCAATTTTAACCACTGGTTTATTTTCTTTTTACTCTAACTCACAAATATTCAGTGTCATTTCTTAACAGAAAAAAACACACTGAATATACTTGAATATCAGTTAAAAGTCCTACCCCCTCACCCCCCATGATACATTAGAACAGAGAGAGTTGCCATGTATTTGGCACACTTTCTAATATTATAGGGTTACTCACTCAATAACTTCATTTTGGACTATAAAATTATTTAGGGCAGATACTATAACCTCCAACAATCTTAATTACATTTTAGAAGCCTATAGCGATCGCTTAACTTAAACTTTATATACTGTTCCTAGTATACTGTTTCTCAAGAGATTGCTCTCAGTTCTAAACTTTTTTTTTTTTAATCACATATATCACTGAAAATCTGATGAGACCTCTGGAAACTTTTCCATAGAAAAAACACACATCTATATATATACATAAAACGTGTATGCCATTTTTGGGGTGCTTGTGAATCTCCTAAAATCTAGCCAAAAGTGCTCATTAACTGCAAGTTAAAAACCTATCTTTCAAAGGAGATGGGGAAATACACAAGTGATGTCTAATATGAAGAAGGAGCCAGTATCATGGGAAGGCCAATGTCAACAAAAATATTGACACATATCTTGAATTCCTTTTCCAGTTACATTATGTGACTTACTGTCATATTGCCTCTGTCTACTATCACTGTTTTAACAGAAACACTAGGATATCATACTACATCAACCAAGCTCTGAATATAACGTTTAAGTAGCTGAGACACAATCCTAGAGGGATGAGAGGAGAAGACGAATACTACCAGGAAGTCTTATCAACAATAAGAGTGAACATTTTTGTTTTATTTTATTTTTTAGATCTTCTCAGGTACCAGTTTTGCTATTTGTTCCCTGACAAATGACTTTACAGATGTGGAAACAAACATTTGCCTAAAATCATTAGGGTAAAACAGACATATTTTAAAGAGCATGACTGGGAAAGGGGATAATCAGACCAGTGACCGGTGGCTACATTCCTGGGACAGGGACCTTCTACCCCTTTTACTCTTCTCTCATGGTTAGCTTTCCATGCCCTTCCTGTCCTAGGAGTCCTGCACGCCTGGTCCACTGCACATATCTGGTAGGATATGGCCTGAGAGCCACTTGCCAGAGCTTTGCCCCGGGCCCTAACCGTCGGCTGAAATATTTCAGGAGGGAGAGTCCAAAAGCAAACACTGCTCATTTCCAAATTTCATCGAAACATAGCCCTGCATCAACAAAAGTGAAAGACATTTGTCCTCCTCTTACACATACTACATGGCCCCCAGAATGCAATATAAGCCTGCTAATATTATGGTTTAGTTACACATTAGGCTTTAAAACAGCTCTCATGGCCCTGGCCGGTTTGGCTCAGCAGTTAGAGCGTCGGCCTGCGGACCAGAGAGACCCGGGTTCGGTTTCCGCTAAGGGCACGTACCTTGCTTGCAGTTTGTCCCCGGCCCCAGTTGGGGTCATGCGGGTGGCAGCCAGTCGATGTGTGTCTCTCACATCGATGTTTCTCTCTCTCTCTCTCCTTCCCTCTCTCCCTCCCGCTCTATCTGAAGATGAATGCAAAAAAATGTCCTCAGGTGAGGATAAATAAATAAAATAAAATAAAATAAAATAGCTCTCATGGACTGACAAAGTATCAAGGTATAGCTACTTTTCTCTGGAAGTTTTTAACATATATTCCAAATTTCCATCCAATCAAACTTTTGGGAATATAACTGGTGAGCAAGTTGCTGGAAGTCCACCCTTGTTGCAGCGTATGCTCAATCAGTATAATGATGATCAGCAGTTGTTTCTGAACAAAGAGAAACCACTGGGACAGCTTTGCTCAGGAGACAGAGCCTGTGATGTAAGTGATGGCGCTAAGGAGTCAGAAATGTATCCTGGGAAAAGCCTCTCCCTCCCTATTGCACTTCCAATTGGCCAGGGAATACCTGTGTCCCCCTTGCCTCCTGGGCAGGGAATACACCTGACCAAGTAAGCAGAAGCTGCTCTCTCAAGGACATCTATGTTCTTTACTTTCACTCTTTCAACTAATCTGTTCATTTCCCACCCTTTGAGATGGATTGAAAATATTCTAAAACAGAATTCTTTCAGAGTTAGATGAGCTATTCTTAGGAATCAGTAATTTCTAAGGCAAATAACTTAGTTATTAGCAACTTATACTCACTTTATTGTTTATATTTTAGAGTAAAGAAACTAAAAACATTAGACAAAATTCCCAAATCATGAGCTCTGGCACTAGACAGCTACCCTCAAAATAGGTTTTAACAGCCCTGGCCGGTTTGGCTCAGCGGTTAGAGTGTCGGCCTGCGGTACAGAGAGACCCGGGTTTGGTTCCGGCTAAGGGCATGTACCTCGGTTGCAGTTTGTCCCCAGCCCTGGTTGGGTCGTGTGGGTGGCAGCCACTTGATGTGTCGATGTTTCTCTTTCTCTCTCTCACTCTCTCTCTTCCTCCCACTCTATCTGAGCAAAAAATGGAAAAATGTCCTCGAGTAAGGATAAAATTTAAAAAAAAAATAGGTTTTGCCCTGGCCGGTTTGGCTCAGCGGTTAGAGCGTCGGCCTGCGGTCTGGAGAGACCTGGGTTCGGTTCCCGCTAAGGGCACGTACGTACCTTGGTTGCAGTTTGTCCCCAGCCCTGGTTGGGTCGTGTGGGTGGCAACCACTCGATGTGTCGCTTTCACGTCGATGTTTCTCTCTCTCTCTCTCCCTCTCCCTCTATCTGAACAAAATATCGAAAAATGTCCTCGGGTGAGGATAAAAAAAAAAAATAGGTTTTAACAAAGAGAAATTCTTTCCCCACCAAATACTCGATTACAAAGGCAATATCCATGGGTTTAATGATCCTTGCCTCCTTTAAAAGATGGTTTAAAAAAAAAAAACTAAATTAGGACCAGTGGATCTCAAAAAAAAAAGAAGATGGTTTGACGTGGAGAAAAAGTGGGCTGTTTCAGGAACTAAAGGTGGATAGTATTTTGCTGTCAGGACAAGGAGGTCCTCCCTCCATCTTCGGATTGCGATGGCTCTCTGGGACAGAAAGTGAGTTCCCTGCAGCGGGAAAGCAGGGCTGTTCCCTATGCTGATGAGCGTAGCACACCCCTATCCAAAGCTGGGGCAAGGGTGTGAATCTCCCCTGTGCGGTTTGCCAAGCCCTATCCCTGGCACGAGGCTGCTTCATCCACCTTTTCTTCGTACAAAGACTTCTCTGTTCACTAACACCTGTGTCTTCACAGTTGTGTTCACCCAAATAGGGTCTCTTTTCTCATTTCACACAAAAGCCCTGTACGACCCGTAACAAAAGCCAATTTAGTACACCTGAACTACTGCATGTGTGATACGGCCAGTATGGTTCCTTCAGTTTTCCATGGCTAAAAGGTATACTTTCAGCATCCTCCATCCCTCAACAGAGAAACATTCCTGTGTGTCTGCTATGAGCGAGCTAGGGGCAATGCTGGGAGCACCAAGAATAAACACACTCTGCAACTTTCAGCAAGTCTGCAGTCTCCTGAGGAGTACACACGCATGTGTGTACTCACTCGTGAGCCACCGGGCACCCTCGTGTGGTGGGCACGCCGCAAGAAAGCTGCAGTATAAATGAAGAGTTACAAATTAATGTGATAAGGAAAGGGCTGTCCAAGGTATTATTAGAACAACAACCAAAAAAGGGGAACTAAGTCTGCTAGGAAGTCAAAGGAGACTTTAGAGAAAGGATGGGTGAATTTTCAATTGGTCTTAAGAATTAATAAAAGTTTCTTGTGCTGAAAGTGAAGGAAGAATATTACTATGCATGGTACAAGGCATAAAAAAATACATGGTTTGTGGACCAGAGCAGCTTAGGTTCGAGCTCCAGGCTGGTGGAAAATGTGGCTGAAAAGGTAGACGAGGGTCACCCTGGGAAGCCCTCGTAAGACGTGCCTTGAGAACGAGAAACTGGAACACTTAACGTATCTTAGGTTGATGGGGATGTCACACCTAAAGATGTGGGGGTAAAGGGTAAAAGGTGGGGGAACATCTGTAATACTTTCCACCATAAAAAAAATAAAGATGCGTTATCCTTTGAGACGACATGGAGGAACCTGCAAAGTATCATCCTAAACAAAACAAGCCAAACAGAGAAAGACAAGTATCATATGATCTCACTTATTTGTGGAATATAATGTACATAACAGTCTGAGGAACGGGGCAGTCCCAGAGACGTGGAAGTGGGGTACAGACTGACAATCCCCAGAAGAGGGGATGGTGGGGGAGAGATAAACCACAGAACTTATATGCATGTATACATGAACAATGGACATGGACAACAAAGCTGGGGACAGGGCGGGGAAGAAGGGGGAGGGGGGAATCAGTGGGGGGAAAAGGAGAAACATCTGTAACATAAATAAATTAATTAATTAAAAAATAAATAAATAAATAAAGATGTGGGTGTAGAGTCTTTATCTGCCTACTGAGAAGTTCAGGCAAGGTCTCTCTATGTAGGATTTGCCAGGATGTGTAGCCATGTATATGTCTGTGCTAGCCCTAATAAAAACAGCTCAGGGCGCGAACTTCAAGGCGTTCGGATGCGCATGTGAGAGACCCTAGGAAGGGCAGGGAGGCAGAGATCAGCGCTGCAGTAAGTAAATGTGTAAGCCGAGTTTAGAACTTCCATACAAGGGAAACAAACAACCAAAAAGGACTGGAAATCTGCTAACACAGAGGTCATCCCAAACCAATCTGTGCCTCTGAAACTCCTGGGAAGGCAAACCAGAGAAAAGGAGGGCAGGGGCACTGTGCCCAGCACATCCGTGCCTGAGGGACGGGCCCAGCGTCTGTGGGCAGGGCGGCAGCACCGGCAGGAACCGAGGTGGTGGGGGGCTGGGAGCTCAGGCACAGGAGGCGCTGGGCCGGACTGGGAAGGAACCTGTACACCTGACCCCTGAACAAGAGATGGGCGATACGGGGTGGGGGGTGTGGATTAGAACGTTACTCGGCACCGTGCAAACGGAAGAAATCACCTGGGATGAAAATGTGTTTCCAATCCGTGACTTCTCTTGTATCTTACGATTATTACCTGTACAAGTAGTAAAATCTGAATTGTGAGAAAACTCTTCCCTTTAGAATGGAAGTACCAGATCGTTTTGCCCAGAGGTCTTGCAACATAGGCCTACTCAGTGGAGACGCACTCTTATTCCAGGCACCAGAAACCAAAGAGTCCCTGAGTGAGAAATAGCAGGAAACATTACGGATCCGAGTGGGACTTCGGGAATGGCAGAGTAAGGACCTGTAAAAATCCAGTCCTCCATGACAGCAGAAGGAAAACTGACAAAAATTCTAAAAATCAACTTTCTATAACTCTAGAAATTAGCTAACCCAAGGAGCATTTATTCGACAACAACAGAAACATCGTCTCAGGAAGCAGAGAGCTTCGGTCATGTTTACGGGCCCAGTTCCCCTCCCTGCTGCCCAGCAGCCTCGAAACAGGAGCAGCTGTAAAACCCTCAGCGAGCCGCGAGGACAGACAGATTTAAAGCTCCTCAAAAACATTCGAAAATAGGCAAAGAACCTTACAATCTTGCTCCTCGGTATTTACCCAAAAGACTTGAAAACTTATGTCCCCACAAAAATCGGCACGTGGACGGTTAGTCACAGCAGCTTGACCCATAACTGCCCAAACTCGAAAGCACCCGTGATGCCCTTCGGTAGGTGACGGGCAAACCAGCCGTGGTCCAGCCAGACACCGGAAGGTTATCCATCACTGAGAAGAAATGGGCTATCGAGCCATGAAAAGGTGGGGAGGGGCCTTACATACGTATCACTAACTGAAAGAAGCCGATCTCAAAAGGCCGCGTACTGTATGATTCCAAGTATATGACATTATAGACAAAGCAAAACTATGGAGACAGTAGAAAGGTCAATGGTTGCCAAGGGCTGAGGTAGGGGAGGGATGAATAGGTGGGGTGCAGAGGATTTGGGGGCAGTGACAATGCTCTGTGTGATACTGTAATGGTGGACTCAAGTCATTACACGTTCGTCCATACCCACTCAGATGGCTGTAATAAAAAAGACAGGCAATAAACAATTGTTGATGAGGATGTGGACAAATTACAAACCCCATACATTACTAGGGTGAACGTAAATGGCGCAGGAACTTTGAAAAACTGTGCATTTTCTCAAAATGTAAACTGAGACCATATAATTCAGCAATTCCACTCCTAAGTACATACCCAAGAGAAATTAAAACATTTTCATGTAAAAACAGAATGTTTATGGCAGCATTATTCATAATAGCCAAAAAAGTTAAAAGAACTCATACATCATTGATGAATTCATAAACAAAATGTGGTCTATCCAATCATAGTTATTCAGCAAATAAGCAGAAATGAAGCGGTGCTTAGACATGCTACAACGAAGACCAGCCTCGGCAACAGCCGAAATGGAAGAGCCAGTCACAAACGCCACAGCTTGTTTGAGTCCATTGATACAAAATGTGGAGAAGAGGCAAATTCAGAGACGGGAAAGAGATGTCTGGGTTCCAGAGGCTGGGTGTTTAGATAGTGGTGGTGGTGGTGAATATACTAAATATGTAAATATAGTTAATCCCACAGAATTGTGTGCTTTAAATGGTGAATTATGGTATGTGAATTATATCTCAATAAGCTGCTGAAACCAAAAAATATTATGCATTTTGTTTGTTTGTTATTGATTTTTTGAGGGGAGAGGAAGGGAGAGGGAGAGAGAGATAGAAACATCAATGACATTGATAGGCTGCCTCCTGCATGCCCCCTACTGGGGATAGATCCCTCAACCTGGGCATGTGCCCTGAACTAAAATGTGACCTCTTGGTGCACAGGTCAACATTCAACTACTGGGCCACACTGGCTGGGCATGGATTTTTTATTTTTATTAAGTTCTATTTTATATTTATAACACAAAGAAGAATACTAACTGGCCAGGTCACTATTTGCCATTTCACTTCTTCTCTTAAAAGAAAGCAGAACCATTAAAAAAGGAAAAGAAGTAATCTGGCCTAAGATTGCAGGAATACGGAAGGTATTAAAGGGAGTCCCTGTTCAAGATGAGGTCTTGCTGCAACCTGGGCACTGAAGTATGTACACATGAGGAGGAGACAATCTCCGTACCTAGGGTATTCTTGACTGGGTCAGGCTTTACAAGGGATCTTGAGATAGATGATTGTTAAAAGTTAATGTTGGAGGCAAAATCCATCAAAATACCAAAGGAACTGACCTTTTTAAAAGTATGAAATAATCTCACTAACCTGCTTTCGGAAAATTCTGAAAAATCATCCTGAAGATCAAATTTGTGTAGAACTTCTCCAATTAGGTAGCCACTGGAGAATGCCTTCGCGAATGACTTGGGACCTGAATTTTAACACAGATATTAAAAAGTAAATGTGTTTCTCATAGAGTTTATATATTTTAATTATGCATTCATAGAGTAAAACTCTGTAATTTAATTTGAACTCAAAATTCCATAAAAATATTCTAGAAATATCTTTTAATAACCAAATAAAAAGATGGAAGTCTAACAGCAGATGTCTTCTAAGAATTCCTGCACAAGTATATATCAATACTTGATGACATGAAATTTTGAAAGAAAAGACAACTTCTGATCAACTTAAAACACAACCAATACAATTGATCATCGTACGTCTAAAAACAAACTTCAATATATTTGATAAAATCACATTGTAGTACCTTAGTTATCAATACAACCTGTGGATGATGATAATATAGTATTCTGGCCCAAGTGAGGGGCAATCTGACTTTCTCAAACAATAATTAAGACTTAATTTTAACCTTTTTTACAATGGTAATTTTACGAAAGTCATCTGCACCTTCTTAAATGAAGCCCACTGGACATGGTCAAGCTTTTTCTTGGTGCTTCAGAGGTTATTCTGGTCCAGTTGTGTTCTGTGTGGCCCAGAGGAAAATAGGCTTTGGGCCAGAGACATGTTAAAACCTCGGCTCTGTCTCTTACTAGCTCTGTACTTTCTGAGTTTCTCATCTTTAGAACATATCCACACCTCTCTTGGAGAGCTATTTTTAAGATTAGAGGTAATGGATGACAACTGCTTGGTACCATGCCTGCCACCTAGGAGGCATCTAGGAGTACAGAAAAAAAGGAAATTAAATGTTGAATAGAATTTTCTTCCTTCAAAAATGTCCTTAGTTTGGAGTTACTTGTATTTTTCTTATGAAGTGAAGGATATAGGGTTACATGGTATTCAGTGATGAGATATAAAATTGTACATAAATTACATTATCATAGGACAAAGCCATTGTCTCTCAGATGATTTCAAAATCCCGCAGAAACCTTCAACATGTTTCTATAATGGTCTTTTAAGCAATAGCAGTCAAAATACTGTATGTCATTGCAATAACACGAGCTCATTCGTACCAGAAAGTCCTCTTTTATCTATTTGACTGATAAACAAGTGGTGAATTGAATATGAAGAAACGCTGGATTTGAAGATCTGATACTTGTGTGTGGTCGCAGTGGGGTGAAGTGAGTTGTCCATAAAGGCCACGGCACAGAGACCTCACTCAGAACACTACACATTAGCATAGCAATGAGATTCTTGTGCTTCTGGCATCGGCCCACAATTTTGCCCAAAGCTTTCCTAATTTTTGTAATCAAAATATATTGTACTCTTAATAATACTTCAATACTTGAGTTGAGCCAGTAAAATAATACAGTAGTTAGACGATGATGTCAACGATTCCCACTGAGTCAGGATGAGCTCCTGAACTGTCCAGCCTTCGAATCTGTTGACCATGTCTTCTGCCATCATACAGCAGTGGCTGCCTGAAGCAACTGAAATCCGGATGGCTGCTTCTGCCTCCAAGGGGCAGAGGTGTGCCACCTCCCCGTCCTGAGTCACTGCCGCTTTCTCCTTTTCTCAAAGACCCACCACTGGTCCCAGCCGCCACTGTCCTCACTGTGCCACCGGGGCTGCTCTAGATGTGCCTTCTTTGTTCTTCCTTCTCCCTGCTTCTTTCCCTTCTCTCCTCCCTAGCCCACCCCCATTCTTCTCTTGATTTTCTGAAGAGCCACTGGACAAGCAGCCATTGTCAGACTATGGATTTCGACTAACAGTCTGAAGACTATAGCTTTGCACTCAGGAGCTATGCTGCCTTCAGGCGGTCTCATTCCTCCTCTCCCTCCCTCTGGATTTCGCACTAGGCCTGTTGTCCACGATGACTGAATGCTACAGCTCCTCATGGATAACTCGATGACTGAATGCTACAGCTCCTCATGGATAACTCGGAGTAACTGTATCTGATTCCACCACTCTCAATGCAGCAGGCAGGCAGTGTGTGTGTATGGATATATACATATGCTAAGAATATAGAGACTAAAAAGCATGAGAAGGCAGATAAGTAGCCAGAGAGAGAAGGGGTTGGGAGAAGAGAAACAGTAGGACAAAAGGAAAAGCAAAGAAAAGTTTATTTTTCCCCTTTTGGTTTATCATATTTTCCTTCCCATTAATGTTCCTGACTAATTTCATGACAGCCCCCCTATAAGTTAATTTGAACTAACAACTGGAATTTCCCACGAGAAAGAAGAGGAGGGTTGACTCTAGGACCAGCGGCAGTGAAGAGTATGAGAAATAAATAAACCACAGGAGCCCAGGGATGAGCTTCACGCGGAGCTCTAAAGAATGACCTCCAGGATAAGGCTGTAAATCTTCCACACCACATGACCCCACCACTAAAGTGTCTTTTTTTTGGTACGTGCCCTGAGCAGGAACCGAACCTGGACTCTCTGGTCTGCAGGCCGACGCTCCTACCGCTGGGCCAAACCGGCCAGGGCTAAAGTGTCTTTTGCTGAAATCTTTGAGGTGGGCCTTTAAGAAAGGTCTGTATGAGGCAGGGACAGCAGGCAGACAGTCCACGCGGCAATGAGGAGAGCACAGCCTCCGGAGAGAGATTCTCTGGGCTTGACTCCTGGCTCATTTGCAAGTCACTGACTTTGGGCAGTTCTAATAACCTCAACTGCTCATCTTTAAAGATGGAAAGGGATGAGCTCTACCTCAGGAGAGTTGGTTTGAGAATTAAATGAGATACTGCTTGCAAAGTGCTTAGTGTTATTCCTGGCATAGAGTAAATGCTCAGTGACAATTATTATTATTTTTATTATTACTGCTTCCTGATTTAAGATAACAGGTTCTATTAATTAGACAATTCCTAAGGTCCATACTAGATTCTCAATGACTTCAGTACAAACATTCTTATTTCCACGGTAAGAGAGCAAGTGGACATTGCCCTGTGATCCACATCCAGACCCACACTCAGGGCCAAGATAAGCTATAACACTCCCACCAGGAACATGCGCAATCAAACATGGTTGATTTCCACAGGGAAACAATTCAGTGGGAGAAATAAAGACTAAACATAGCATCACAGCATTTCTGGCCAAGTTTTGCCACCAAACGAATAAAGAGATACTTAGATTTCGGAATTGTGCCTAGGAGTCTGTAGACCTATACATTCTGTGCTCAGTGCCTTCGCTCCTCCTTTAATAGAAGAGCAAAGATCTAGCCTGCGTTATCAACCACATTTAAAAAGCCAAGCAACTGACTTTTCTTTGAGAGAGAGAAGAGCAGCTGCCGAAGGCTCGGACCCGGCCTGGCCCTACCAGGCCCTGGTGTTCCTAGGAACTGGCCCTCACAGCTCGGCCTTGGCATTCGCCTGCTGAACACAATTTCACAGCACACCAGCCCCAGACAAGGCCACCGTACGCCCCTGATGGATCAAGACAAAAACAAAATCCCTCTGTAATCATGTTGGTACGCAGACAAAAACAATGTTGTCCAAATCACAAAAATGACCAAACATTCACTAACCTGGCCATTATGAGTGGTTGCTGCTTTATTACTAATTATGGCTTTGCCACACTCATCTCTCCACTTCTTGGATAAGATTTATTAAGACACCCAGTCTTAGTGCCTACGCTTCTGAGAGTATCCGACTCAGAACAGAGCACCACTTCCTTGAAAAACACCTAACACAAAACCAAATGCTTTAAATCCTTTCTAATTCTTACTGAGATGCCCCACGGTCCCCCATGACATGTGCTCTCTCTTGTTGGCAACAAGTCCATAAACCCGACTTTGTTCAACTACAGGTTTCTGCTGTGGTCTTTGGGTAAAGGAGAGTGACCATTTCTTTTCTTCCAGTATGAGAATAGGATGATCAACCTTCTCCTTTCAAGACTTTATCATAATTCTCAAGGTTTACTGTTTGAAACAAAATCTCTATCTTACTATAACATTCTTTAATGGTTTAAATTTTGGGTGACATTCTTTTCTTGAAACTTCATATCTTAAAATTTTGACATTGATTCACTGCTATTAGATTTGCTGTCTCAATGTCTAGTCAAAGGAAGTCAAGTTTTAATCAAGGGAAATGCTGTTGAGCTAGCCAGAAAATATCACAATCTGTTGTAATATCTGAGAAGCAATGTATTTCCTAATGATCCCGAGGGATGAAGCATGAGAACAATGCGTGGTTTAATGGCACCAGATTACAAGAGGAACGAATTAAAGTCAGCAGAGTCAGAGTCTATCGCTAACATGACACTACCTAGCTGTATAACCCTCAACAAATCTTTATTTTATTTTTATTTATTTTTTACCCTTACCCGAGGATATTTTTCCATTTTTTGTACAGATAGAGTGGGAGGGAGAGAGAGGAAGGGAGAGAGAGAGAGAAACATCAACGTGAAGGGACACATCAAGTGGCTGCCACCCGCACGACCAACCAGGGCCGGGGACAAACTGCAACCGAGGTACGTGCCCTTAGCGGGAACCGAACCCGGGTCTCGCCGGACCGCAGGCCGACGCTCTAACCGCTGAGCCAAACTGGCCAGGGCTAACCCTCAACAAATCTTTAAACATATTTTGTTTAATTACCTCACATGCCAAAGAAGAATTAAATGATATCCTAAATCTTTTTCAGATCTCAAGTTCTGTGATTCTTTGATATGATAAGATCATCATAGACCAATAAAAGGTCACAATACATTATAAAATGTATGTAAAAAAATATTCTATGCAATACTTTAAAATAAAATTTGATACTTTTGGAAATATCTTGACATAAGACCTAATCAACAAAGTATAATTAGTGCACAAGGGGACCAAACAAAGAATACCCTTAAATTCTGGGACAAATAATAGAAAATACCACTCTCTGAAACAAAAATTACTTAGATTTAATATAAAAGAACAAAATTAGCCACCTATGAAGACCCACGTATACAAAAATATTAACAAGGAGCATAGCATATCTCTTAAAACTCAATTTATCTATTTAATTTTTTCCATATCATGTAAACTATAATCTTTGGATATATTAAATAACCTTACTGACAATAGAGATTTTCTGTAATGAGAATTACATAAATATTATAATTTCAGAGATTTCTGTAGCGGTGGTGACACTGGAAAAAACATCGAACAGTAGGGCTTGTTCATGCACTGGTGGAAGAGGAGGAGGAGGGGGAAGAAATCTGCCTCTAAACTCTGACCTAATCTAATCTAATCTGTCACGGCTTGTAAATACAATATCTCGAGAATAGGTAAGTAAAACAAATCAAATATTAGTTTAATTTGAGAGTTCTCTTGGTAATATCTAATTTCTGATTGTCGATGAGCAATCTGATCTATAAGTTTGGTCTTCTCCTGAGTGGAGCAGCCCATTTAGATGGTGCATTGTGTTCAACTGCCAGGACAGGTTTTTCCGCTCTCCTTCCTCGTGCTAAATTGGTACCCTGGTTTATCAAATCAGAAAAAGGCAATTTCAGTTAGTAGGCAGCAATTCTGAAGAACATGCTTAAAACAGTTTCTGAAATCACAAAGCTGAGGATCAAAGCACCCAGGGTGACCTTCTCCCGTTGAACAAATCCGTCAGATTCCGCCTAAAGCAATACTGTCCTTTTGCCTCACTCACAGACTTGCATGTAATAAATGATTATTTACTAAATGCCCATTATATGACAACTATATTAGGTATTATTCCAAAGAGAGTGAGAAAAAATATTTGAACTAATATTTTGTAAGTATCTGAATGTAGTAGATGTTAGGAACTGTGGTAGATATTTTTCATTTGTAATCTCATTTAATAACCTTCCAAATATATAACAAGTCTTATTCTTACATTTCAGGGTATAAATTTGGGAGCCAGAGATTATTATTTCTGTTCTGGATACTGTACAATTTTCAACATAGCCACAACCAGAATCCAAAACAACAACAACAAAACATGGACAATCTTGTACATCCATCTTTACCAAGGATCTGATGGGTACAGTACATGGAATTTGAAGGCTTCTTACTCAATCACTGAGCATGTTCAGTTACTTGTGAAGAATATTCTGATACTAGTTCCCCCTTATAGTGATTACATAAGAGTTTTGTAAAACAGAGGCAATGCTTATTCTTAAAAATAATTAAGCGTTCTTGAAAATTGTTTAACAGCAAATCCTTTAGTAGTGTTACATTGCTTATTTTTCATTATGAAAATAATTGCTTGAATTTCAGGTGTAATTTTATTTGGAGCAACTTTTTTGTATTCTAAGACATTTCGTTAACATACACATCTGAGCATCATTTTCCAGGGTGAATGGTCTGGTTACATTTGACTCACTGAAGACCCTTAACTTTGTTAACAGAGATTTGAATCTTCATGTTGAGACGAATCCAGTTCCTGGTGACTCCAGAAACCTCCCTCCATCATGTGGAGGGAGACTTCTCAGTTGAGGATCAATGGAATTCATTTTCTTTACTGTTTATAGTCAGGGTAGTCCACATAACACAAAATTCAATAACATAATTTATCCAAATTGACTTCTACCTTTCAGAATAATGCAGAAATCAATTGCCTTTAGCTGCCTCTCCAAAATCACTGAACCATTATTTAACCTCATCAAGAAAACAAAGGCACTCAGTAGCATTCTTATCCTGTGTTCTTTGTCCCAGCAACTAACATATAGATGGAATCACTTCTAAACAAACACTAATAAATCCACCTTTGGCACTTAATCTAGGAATTAGGCGATGCCTCGGTGGATGAAGTTCTATATTTCTTGTGGCTTCAAATTGAACAATGATTCCTATAAAAGAAGCTCACATGAATATATTTGGGAGAGCTTAGTTTTTAAAAAATCTCTTCCCTAAATATAAACTCATACAACTCTTAGTGCCTAAGAGTACAAGTCAAAGATCTAGCTTTGATTTTAGCTGTGCCACCCTGAACAAATCACCAAGCTCTCTTAATCCCTTTTACTCATCTGTAGTTCTGGGACAATGCCTCCCAGGGTTTTCTGTTTGTTTCTTTAAGGATTAAATAGGAAAACCTATGTAAAGGGCTTAGCACAGGGTCTGGGGTAAGTGCCCAAGTGTTCAACCAGAGGTAGCAAGTTGGTAATATGCAAGGGTGTTTCTGGGAAAACAGATCAAAACGATTTGGCCTGAAAACCTCCTAACTGGAGCAAAAACAATACCAGCTGAAAAATAAACCCCTGTTAATGAAACAACACAAAGAAGTTGGGATGGGGCGTAGTGCGGAGCTGGACTCACTGGGCTATCACAGAAGCTGCCCGCGTGTAAAGCTCCCTCTGCGGCGGTGAGGTTAGCGCCTGGGTGACAACCTCCTGGTTGGGGTGAAATCAGTTGAGACTAAAGTTGGCTTTGGGCAAGAATAATAGCTAATGTGGGTAGATTCGGGGCTAAAACTGAAACGTGTACATGGGAACGGGGTCTGTACGGACGCGTTCCGCACCCCTCTCCGACGGCAGGAAGTCGGGAACACATGCCTGGGTCTGTGTCGCACGGGGGACACACTCGGAGAAGCGCTTTGACTGGTCCAGGGGCACGGACACCCCGGAGCGTGCGGTGGCCGCGAGCTTCCCAGGTCGTTGGCTGCCAGCCCAGGAGGCCAGAAACCGCGGGGCTGGACCCAGCGGGTTGGCCTGAGGAGCTGGGGTGAGGGGAGCGGGGCGCTGAGAGGCGGGGGCGCTGCCAGGCCCCGCAGGCGCCCCGCCGCCAGCTCGCGCCGCCCCGCCCCCTTCCGTCCGCGCGCGGAGCTGCGGCCTCCGCGCCCCGAGCCCCGAGCCCGCTCGCCGGGGTGTCACTCACTCACGGTCTCCGACACCTTCAACTCTTGGTTGAGCCACTGGCACAAGATCGCCGACATGGCTGGGCCTGGGCCTCGACAGCACGCAGGGAAACCAAGCCCACCGCTCCGCGTCCTCTTGTTGCCAAGGGTAACCCGTTGCTAAGGAAGCGTCTCCAGGCCGGAGCAGAGACGGGCTGGGAGAAGAGGGGCGCAGAGCCCAGGCGCGGAGGACGGAAAGTCGTGGCCCGCCCCCTTCTGGCGGGTATGACTGCGAAGTGCACCGGCGCGGCTGCTGGGGCCGTGGGCCTGCGAGGACCGAGAAGTTAGCGGGGTGCAGGAGGGGGCGAGGCAGGAAAAGCTGTGGACTGAGCTAGGGCTTCTGGGCCCAGCAGAAAGAGAGAGTATTGGTGGAAAGGGATTATTTTCCCCTTCTTGATTATTTTCCCCTTCTTGCCTGTGTTTTGAAGAAACCTGTTGAAGATCTTGCTGTAAGGGCAGCAACTTGGTCATTGATTTATGTATTATCAGTATTTTTATTTTATTTTTGGTACGTGCCCCCGTGTGCCCCCAGCGGGAACCGAACCGCGGGAACCGAACCTGGGACTCTCTGGTCCGCAGGCCGATGCTCCAGCCGCTGAGCCAAACTGGTCAGGGCTCCCTGTTGTCAGTACTAATGGTGTCTTTTAGGGGCTACCTGGGCAAGGACAGAATGTGTCTTGTTCACTCGTTGTGCCAGACTTAGAATCGAGCCTGACACCCATCAATCAATGATTGTTTTGTTGGTGGTGGCAGAACTAACCATTACAACAATTCATCTCTCTGTGTGTTGTCTTGAGAGACGAATATTTAATGAACTTTTTCTCTGGTCAGATTTTGCTTCCAGGCGTTTTGACCAAGACTCTCACCACGACCAAACCTGAGTCAGGCTCCTCTGCGCCCTCTCCCCCCGGGGTCCCTCCATGAGCTCACCCCTTGGCTTACTTCGTTCAGTTGAGCAAGAATCCTGATTAGATTAGAGAAAACCCCCCATCCTGGTATCTGATCAGTTTCCTCATCCCCCACCCTTGCTCTCTGATCCCGCTGGCCTGCCTCCAGCAAGAATCCTGTCAAGTCAGTTTACCAATGAGGCAATTACCTCCTAGTAATTTTCCCTCAACTGACTCCAACCTTGGCTATACATCCCCAATTTTCCAAATTGTTTTCTGGATGGAGCCTCAATGTTCTCCCCTACTATAAAACTCCAGTGAACCTTGAATAAAGACTTCCTTATTTTTAACAAGTGTCAGAAAATTTTAACAATTTCTAAAGGTTTAGCTGGAATAATAGAAAAAATTGTATACATAACTTATATAATAATAAATAATTTATATGTGTATATCACAAACATAAGGAATTTTCCCTGAAATACCTGGAGACACCAAATACGATTTTTTAAAATTGTAGGAACAACAGTAACAACCCACTAGAACAAAGGTCTGTTAACATTAATCTGAAGTTGATCTGTGTGCCCTGATTGGACAACCGTTTAGTACCATTTTACTGTTGGCTCTACTTACCGGTGAAATCTCCCATCCCATGAGCTCCCACACAGCCAGCACAGCAGGCATGACTACGATGGGAATTCGGAAGATGGATTGTCAACAGAATCGGGGCTGATACGTTTGACATGTCTCGCCGTAGAGGTGTCCAAATTCAGAAGAATCTAAAAAGCCTCACAGCTTGGAGAATAAATCTAATACATTTTTATTCACTGGAAACACATCATCTCTGAAACACTCCTGAGGGATGGATAGGGGCCAAGCTTCTGAGCACTCCTACTTGTTGTCATTCTGATAGTATACTCAGATTGACGACTGCGATCACATTTAGCAAGAGGTTTGAGCTTTAATTTCAGTCTGTAGGACCTGGGGGACAGAACCAATGTTTTCTAGATTGCAGAGAAAATTGCTTTTGGGGAAGGATGTAGATGATGGCGCATTACACTCCACAGTTGCTCCAGAAGAGAATGAAATGTGTGAGCTCATAACCCACCTTCAAATATGGGCTGATATCCCCACATGAAAGCAAAATATTTCAGTGCCTACCTACAGGAACTGTTTGATGGTTGTGCTTTGTTTCAAAGTATTATTTGTAGAGTTTGTCTTTGGAACCCAGCTCCTAACAACATAATTTGTCAAGTAATATTTTGGAAAAGAAGTTTCTATACTGGATTTAGACAAATGAAAATATAAACACCTTACAAAATAAAAGGCAAAGTCCTTCATTTCATAAAAATATGATTTTTTTTTTGTTTTCTAAAGCATTCAACTTGAAAATGAGCTGACATTAAAATATTAATAAAAATTTTTAGCCATTACTCATATACATACATTTTACTACGTGTTTTTTTTCTTGAAATTGTTGATTTGGTTATTGGTCCAAGTTTGACATTAAATCTATTGCTTTCCCATTGAAATCCCAGCTCTGGGTAAAGTTTCTAGCACTGCCCATGTTGATATTTTGTGTTAATATGATCTATAACTTGTTTGTTCCCCCCTGTGGCACCAGCTGGGGAGAGGAGAGAATTAACAAAATGTAGTTTCCCATCTTGCTTGATTGTTAACATTTTTAGAACATATGGCTCCTGCATCCAATTGCAACTACCCCACTGCAATTTTAAAACTAAATTTAAAATTTTCTTTTCAGCCCTCGCCGGGTAACTGAGTTGGTTAGAGTGTTGTCTCAACATGCCAAGGTTGCAGGTTCCATCCCTGGTCAGGGCACATACAGGAATCAACCAATGAATGCAAAATTAAGTGGAACAACAAATTGATCTCTCTTTTTCTCAAATTAATTAAAAATTTATTTTTTAAATATTACCTGCCATTTAATTATAAATCTTTATTTCTCATCTGGAAGTTATTTTTGAGACCACAAGTTGGTTTGAAAACCTTTCTGTCTACGGAAATGGGTTTTATGCCTCATTCTTTAAAAGAAATAATTGTAAAATTCTTTGCATAATTAGAATTTTACACTATCAATAAATCCAAGCTTTAGAGCTAGACACACCTGGATCTGGACGTCTGCTTTCTACCTGACTTGCTCTTCTACTTTGGAAAAACTATGTAACTTCTCTGAGCCTCAGTTTCCTTATCTGTAGAATAAGAACATCAACATTCATTTGACAGAGTTGTGAAGATTAAATGAGAAACTGAGCATATTAATGTCTGACTCATAATGGATGCTCATAACAAATGTTTTGTTTGTTTTTCTTTTCTCCTAAGGCTATAGAATTTTTTCATTGTATTACCAGTTAACTTAGTATCTTAGATTTCTTTATAATATTTGTTAAAGTTTTTGAGACGATTATTTCATATAGCTGCTTTGATTTTATTTATGACTAATTCACTGTTTATACACACATAAATCATATACATTGGCAAATTTTTAAAAATCTTATTTGGTCCTCCATGTATGTCTTGCTTGTGTTTTCATCTCCCCTCTCATCAGCTTAGATCATTCTCTCATCTCCTCCCCTCAGCATGTCTTCCAGTGGCTTTGCTCACTTTACATTCATTCATTCAACAAATGTTTCCCTCAGTGTCCACAATACCCACCCAAGCTGGGGTGATTCTTCCCCTCCAGGCATCCTTGGCAACCAGTCCAGTTCATAGTCCTGAAGCCCCTCTCTATTTCTCAGCTCAGACACTTTCATGAACTTTTCTGGAGCTGTGTTCACCAACAAGGGGCTTGACCTCTTAGCAGAACATGCAATTCCTTTGGTGGGTCATGCCAGAATTCTTTATGAAGGAATTGGTATAGAATAAAATGGGATATAAATGATCAGAGAGAGTTTATTTAATGTAGTAAGAGTAGATGAGTGAGTGGGTTTTATGGTTTTTTGTTGTTGGTTTTTTTGGAAACCTTTTTGGAACTACAGTCCTGGTAGACGTCAACCCCACTGAAGCCTTTATGATCTAGACTCAATCCAACCTTAACTGCAAACCACAAATTTCCTGTGTACAACTTGCTCACATTTCTTTACTAGGCCCCAACTTTCCCACCTCTGTATCCCTCCTCTGCAAAAAAAAGGCAACTTCCTCTCTCAGCCAGTCCTGCCTGTCCTCCAGGGTCTAGCTCATCACTCACTATCTTCACAAAACCTGCCTACTGCCTCCATTTTTCCCATCCCTTCACCCTCTGAATGCTCAGCATGAGAACCCTCACCTTTTAATTTTCATCCCAGACATCTAACTCTTACCGACAACCCACAGCGTAGCCAACAGCTCAATTTTGCAATCTTCAAGCATGTTTCTCAACACTTTTCCCAGGAGTGTTGATCTAGGCTCTCAGAAGAGGCGATAAGATAACGCCAGCAAATAACAGTATAACAGTAACACTGTGAAAGTTACAAAATTCTCTTTCGTTTGTTTGTTTGTTTTACTTATTTGGTTGACATGTTTATTAAGCCTCTCTCTTTATTTCTCCCTGTGTGTCTTTTACTTTCCTTTTTTAAAAAAATTAATTAATTTTTGTTACAGATGTTCTCCTTTCCCCCCCACTGATTCCCCCCTTCCTCTCCCTCCCCACCATGTCCCCAGCTTTGTTGTCCATGTCTATTGTTCACACATACATGCATATAAGTTCTGTGGTTTATCTCTCCCCCACCACCCCCTCTTCTGGGGATTGTCAGTCCGTCAATCTCTGGGACTTCCACGTCTCTGGGACTACCCCATTCCTCAGACTGTTATATTCATTATATTCTACAAATAAGTGAGATTATATGATACTTGTCTTTCTCTGGCTTGTTTCACTTAGGATGATACTTTCCAGGTCCCAGCATGTCGTCTCAAAGGATAAGAGATCTTTTTTTCTTACAGCTGCATAGTACTCCATTGTGTATATGTACCACTGCTTTTTTATCCATTCGTCTACTGATGGACATTTGGACTGTTTCCAGATCTTAGCTATTGTAAATAGTGCTGCTATGAACATGGGGGTACATATATTCTTTCTGATTGGGGTTTCAGGCTTATTAGGGTACATTCCTAGAAGTGGGATCACTGGGTCAAATGGAAGTTCAATTTTTAATTTTTTGAGGTAGCACCATATTGTTTTCCATAG